AGACCTTTTCCCATCTGTTCAAAGGCTGTAACAGGGACATGGAGTGGGCCTGTGCTGGGAGCAAAAGCTTGAGCCAGGACTCACAAAACTGAGGAAAAATCTGAGCGGTAGTGAGAGCAAACGGGTTGGTGCTTGTGGAGGGAGCAGGGAGGCATGGTATGAAATAAGGTGCAGTATCCATTTCTGACAGGACTTTTTGGTGCCTATATCTGCATCTCAGAGGAAGCAGCCAGTTACTGTTGCTCCTTGGCTCATTTGCACAGTCTAGGGATGAATGGATCTGTGGCTCTTCCAGTCCTCTTCTTCTCCAGGGTCCTTTTAAAATCTGTGCAGTTGCTGTCCTGCCCAGTGAAACCCACTAAGTTCTGTGAGAAGGGCTGACAACCTAAGGAGAGAGAGAACAGTTCAGCCTTTCTATTCACCAAGCAGATTCATTAATGATTAGTGCCATTAGGTGGACTACAGTAGTGCCTGAGGGCCCCAATTAAAGGAAAAGTGAGCTTGTTAAATCCAGAAAGCCAGATTCTCCCTCTGATACTCACGCCTGATGCAGAGGTGGTGCCTCCAGGGCGGGCAGCAGGAATGGCCCTGGCTTTCTGTGAGAGCAGCTTCTGTGCCTTCCCTCCTCCCTCCTCCACAGCTTCCCTCTGCCCTGCCTGAGCTGCAGATCCTGCTTGCAGGGTTCTGCAGAGCAAGGCTGTTGCAGGAGTTGGCTGGCAGGACTTGCAGGAGGAGGTGTCAAATCAGCTTATTCTTCTGAGCCACTTCATTCTTCATCACGAGTGGGTTTGGGTGGGCTTTTTTTGGTTTAGGTCTTGGGGTTTTTTTGGGCAGGGTTGAGAGCAGGCAAAGTAGTGGGGATTGCAGAGGAGTCTGTTATGAAATCAGATGCGGTTTTAGATGTCTGAAAGAGTTTCTTTAGGCTAAAGGCAGCTGAAGATCAATTGCACTGTTGGCAAATGTGCTTCCAGCTGGTTGGAGCTTCTCTTGAGGGAGAGTTTCAACCCAGGGCCCATTGCAATGGTAGTGCAGGAAAGGGCTTTCCTTTGCTTTGGGCTAAGGACCTTCTGCTGCCCAGTTCTACCAGTGAGAAGAGAAACTGGAGATGATGTGGGAGAGGCACCACAGCTCTGTTACTGGTGAGTTACTGGCTGTTCCTTTCTCTCCAAATCCCCACAATGGGTCTGTGTTTGAAGATTTTGCTCCAAGCCCCATGCTTCTGAACTATGGGTTTGCTAACAAATGGGCAGACTGTGCTGGCACAGACTTTGCCTTTCAGGAGGTACTGAAGAAATAGGTTTAAATGGATCAAATTCTCAGAAACCCAGCCTGCGGCTTGTGCCTTAGCTTTTTAGGCTGTACAGTTTGTTTTATTTTGTTTCTTTGTTTGCTTATCTCCAAAGCTGATATGAAGAAAAGATGGAAACAGCCTCCTGAAGGTCAAGGTGAGACTGACCAACACCTGATTGCTGGTACTCACCAGCAGTAATAAATCCCTGATCACAGGTGCTGGAAGTCTCTTCAGAGAAACAACATTGCTGCAGGGGACCAACAACTAGTCCTGACCTTCTTTACACAGCCATTCTCTGGGAAATGTATCCCCTGAAGTCAATGTGGATTCTGCCTAGGTAAGGATTTTGAACGCTCAGTTTTACCTTATGTTATCCCAATATGAACTCCAGGCTCATGCCACCAGAGTACAAAGAGCTTGGTGTGCATTGTGCTTTGCACCTCCACATTTCTTGTCCAGGATATAAATTTTTTAAGTGCTGTGAAAAACTTACTAGATTTCTCAAGCATCAGAGATCAAATCTGCAGAGCAGCTTTTTTTTTGCCAAGAAGCATCCTCAAGAGTGGATGGACAGTGCATCCTTTAATACCACTTTAATACCACCAATTTCTTTAACACTTTGGAAACTACTGGGTATTCAAACTGATGCTCCCCAAGGCAGCAAATGAAAACCTCAGAACCTCAGTCAACCAAAGTAAAAACCAAGTAACCAACCAAAAAAAACATTAGTAACCGCGAGAAAGAAACAATCACTGATAGCGACAGGAGTTGTTTTATCAGATTTATCCCCTTAAAACACCTATTTTGCTGCAGTGGCTGTCAGTAAGTTTCCTTCAGATACAGCTATGCACACGGTCTAATTCTGCCAAATTAATTCTGCACCTCTTCAAGAGTCAAACCATGTGTCTAGTATAGTCTCTCTTTGTCAGGACTTCTGATAGTAGCACTTCTGACAATTGTAGTACCTTAAGCGCAAGAAGTTTTGCAGTAAATGGTCAGTTTGGTATTTATGCTTCTTTTAATGTATTTTATTTTGACTAGGTATTGTAAGAGGTTTTATCCCTTCCTCTGTTCCCCTGGGGCACTTTCAATTTTCCAGTCCTCTGGCACGAGCTGCCTTTTGCAAAGGAATGATTCCTGTAAAGGCGCTGCCTCATTTTGTTTCCCATATTCTAACAAATTCTTAAATTATGTTGTCAGATGAAAAATACAGAACATATTTTGTTAGCATGGAACATTGGTCACATTAGTTTCACAATGCCTCATTGAAGAATCCAATATGTCAGAAAATTGTCCTAAGCTTTGCTGTTTATTGAGGCTTAATAGGTGCCCTTGTCCCTTTTACTAGAGCCATGATGCAATACTTGTTTTTTTTCTGTTGCCAAGACATTTCACTTGGTCTCCTTCACCCTTACTCCTAGTGCCCATTAAATGGGAGCAGCACTTTCAGATCTCTGAGATTTATGGGAAATGCTACATGAGGAGATAGGCTTTATTAATTGCAAAAATTTTATTTTACCTTTTAGCTTTCATCAGAAGAAAAACGCCTGGATTGAAATGACAGCAACAAATAATAGGTAAAGGATGCTCCCGTGTCACTTCACAGGTGTGTTATGTAACAGAAAACATCCAGCCCTGGGTGCAGGAGATTTGTGGCTCCCGTCCCTCTCTGAAGAAGCCTCACCTCACAGAAGGTTGTAGTGGCCCGGCCTCATGCAGGTGCTGTGCTGCAGCATTCCAGGCTGTGAATTTCAGCCTGTGCCCTTGGCTGGACTGTCCATGGCAGGTTGCAGTATCTGTCCTACTTGCAAAATCCCAGTCCATTTTCAGCATTGCCACTCACTGCTCACAAGCCCGCTGTTTTGCTGTGCATCAAAAGTTCATTTTAATTACCTTTCCTCCATTTTCTTTAGGTGCTGGTGATTTGCACTCTCTCCACCTAAATCAGATATCTGGCACATCAGTACTTAGAAGGCTTAGGAGAAGAAGAAAACATCAATATTTCAATGAACACAAAAAGTTGCACAACTCCCCAGTTTTTATTTTAATGTCACCTGTGGTTAGTGGGTCATATTTCTTTTTTTCTGTAAGACGAGTGATTTCCACTTCTCTTTAAATCCCACCTGTGCAAATAGCTTGTTTTTCTCCCTAGCAAGTGTTAACAAGGAACTGTAAGGGTTTTGTTCAGGCTCAGTAGTCAGGCAGTCCTGGGGCGTGTGACTTCTAGGAAAAGCCACAGCAGGAACAAATGAGAGCCAGCCCACGCACCAGGCACAGCTCACAGCTTTTGCTGGTCCTCAGCTCTATGTTCCAGCTCACACTCGTGGTAAATGGATCTCTGTTAGCAACTGCAACGCCGACCAGCGCCGGGAGCACAGATCTGGACGAGCTGGGTGCTTCATCATGGAGCTGCCCTTAGAAACCACGGCCCATTATGAGGCAGCTTCACCCTCCTCAGCAGAGCCCACGGCAATTCAGGACTTGCTCTGCTCACTTTAGTCCGTGCAATTTCATCCTTTGTGTGAACCAGAATCATGCAAATGGGGGCACTGGAGTCATAGGGGAGTCGAGTTCCACGCGAGGAGTGGCATGAGAAGGAGCAGCAATTAGCTCGGAATTCACTCTACCAGCCTGTCATTCCTTCACTCTCCCCTGCTGCTCTGCAACTGGAAGCCTTGTGCTCTAGAAGAAGGGGAGAAGAACATTTTGCTCATGCTCATATTAATCAAGTCATCGTGTGAGCTGCTGAATCTGTGAAATTGTATCTCCCATGGAGTTCGGAGGTAATGACTGTCTTCGATGTGGACTCTCTGGTGTCTAATAATACAGTAATATTTCTGCAGTGGATGCACTCCCAGCATTTCTTCTCCTCTGCCTGCCTACTTCTACAGCACTTGTAGGCAGCTCAAACCTTTGAGACTTCTATCCCCTGTCAAGTTTGATCAAACTCAGTTCACAGGCTCAAAAATTATTTAGGAGGGACCGACTGGCACTTGCACAGACAGTGTGATCTCATAGGCTTCCTTTCCTTGGGAAACTAGGCTACCATCCTAGCAACGGGGTGAAAAAAAAGCCATCCTGCTAGCAAAGAGGACCTAAACACCAGGAGGAAAGAGGGGAGGTGGGAGAGGAAAGTGAAGGTGTTTTGAAGGGAAAAATATTGCTGCCTTGTGGCTGCAGAGCTCTCACACGCTTAAAGGGCCAGCCTTGGAGAGACACGCTGGAGAAAATATTCTCCAGGAGATGGAAAGTTCTCTCATGAAAATTGGTGAGGGAAAGAAATGACCTGGATTCATCTCACCACCTGGCATGCTGAATGGATATCTCTATGGTAAGGATTGTCTCTGGTGACACTTGCTCCTCCCTGTGGACTAGAGGAAGACACAGACACAATTAGCATGCAACCTGTATGCCTGCAGCATCTAAAGTGAGGTGTGTCCTGTCCCAAAGGGAATTCTCTTCTTCCCACTTCCTCCTTCAGACCAAAGTTTTCCATGGTGCTGCTGCAGGGTTTGTTACTTCATGTACTACATTTGTATTTTAGAAAAGCTGCTGTGTGTCTTAATAGCTGCAGATGTATGCATGGTTTTACTGGGCATTTATTATCACTTATCCTCTTTGCACTGAAACCTTTCCTGTCCTTGTATCTTACGGAATAAAATTCTTTAAGTGAGCTTTAATGGTTCTATGGTACTACTTTACAAATTAGGGAGCTGTCATCCCACTTCTATTTGCTATCATACATTGTTTGAGGCTGTCAGAAGTGTTATAGTGCATACCCACATAAATTGATATTTAATTTCAGTAATTATAATGTCACTAATTGTGTTTTTGCACCTGATGCAATTACTTGCATTCATCTATTGAGCTCTTCTTTGTTCTTTCTAAATTTAGGCGTTCCCTTGTTCTTTAATCTTCCCTGCCTATGGTAGATCGAACAAACAATGAAACTTGGAAATAAAAGCTCAGACCTTCCCATCAATTTCTATGTGCCAGATGAATGGGATAGTTTGGAGCCCTGTATGTACATGGAGGGCAGGATATGCTCAAAATCCCACTGACTATTTTTATGTAATTTTTATGAGGCTTAGAGGGGGTCTGGTTATCCAAATACTGCACAGTGCAATTGTTTGTACTGGCCTACTCCTAAAAGTTTTCTAAGTTTTAGGGGGCTTTTTTGCTTGTAGCCTTTCACTTAAAATTACTCCAGGACTGCTGAGGCAGTCCCTTTCATCTGGCCCTTTCACCAGCGCTCTTTTCCTCACAGCCTTCCAGGGGTGAACTTTTTATGCCATATTCCCTGGGAAAAGGCTTCCTATACCTCAGCCATCCTCCTGTGCTCTTCTCCTCTACCTTTTCATCACATTGCTGTCAAGTTATAATTCATATCATTCAGCACTGAAGTTCCCACACTTCTTCCACTTGGTGCCTTCTAGATCCATAAGTACATATTACATATGAAGAGTTTATAGTAGTAATTTTAATATAGGATAAGTGATACCTGATTAAAAATTCATACAAGGCGTATCAACCAGTTAGCGTGCAACATTCAAAATTGTACTTAATCCTACTTAATCAAGCATAATCCAGCCAGTGCCAGCATTGCCATCAGACAAAGATGGAAGGCAACTTGACCAGGCTTTACTAAAGGGTGTAATTTTACTGGGGGATTGGTTTTGATAGGATAGTGATCCCCTGCTGCACTGGAGCAGACACCAGGAGAAGATGGCCCCCCTGAAGACTCCCAGCTGCATCCTGTCTACAATTTTCCTATTAACCTTGAACTTGGTGTATGCCACCAGCTACAAAATCAGTGAATTAAGCACGTGCTTATTGTCAACCTGCCTCAACATCCTCTGTGCTAAAGTGAAAAAAAAAAATAAATCTGGGTTTCAGAATTCCTGCTGCATCCCAGCAGACAGTTTGAGGATAGTGTTCCCTCTTTTTAAGGATACCTAAGACTCATTGGCCTCCAGATTATAGTCCACATAGAAACTTCATTTGGTTCTATTAAAAAAAAAAAATCCTTTAGTGGGCAGTGCATCTTTATTATTATTGCCACATGTCAATATTATTGCCATCCATTATTTCACTTTAGGAGTGGCTTTTATTATTTTAGCTTGAAAACTGTTCCCAACTGTCTTAAATTAAACCAACATAAATTTAATTTAACCTGAAGGGAATAGTTACCTCCCAGACAGCTGCTGTCTCTCTGCCACTGGAAATGTGTGGTGCTGCAGGATTTTACATCCTATGACACAACCAAGGCTTCTTTTGGGCTTGAGTGCCCATGTGATAATAAGCACTGACCTTACTCAGTTTTTTGAGTTTAACTCATCATCAGAAACCAGCCCTTTGAGTGAGTGACCAAATTCACCACTTGGTGCAAATGTGTGCGCTCTACAGATCATGTCCGAACAGTGGGCCTGAGCTGGGCACCCAGTGGGCAATGAGGTACCAGGGCAGCAGATATGTGTTATGCAAACTGCTGCTTGTACAGGTATTTAAATAAACTTTTATGTGTCAGCTTCTTTGGAGCAAAGACCAAGAGGTCTGCAGAGGTGCTCTTTAGGGAAAAAATGCCTATAACAACATGAAAAGGCGATTTGTGCTGAGGTTTCTGGGGAACTCAACCTTAACAATAAGGTGAGTCACCTGAAGGAGGACCTACAGACCTCAAAACAAACATATCCACACAAAACCTTGTTGATAACAAGTATTTCCTGATGATGTTCATGACCAGAAATTACATGGATCACACATGGACATCATGATCTCCTGTGGGTCTCTCCAAGCCTTTTTCACAGCTTTCTATCTGATAAATGAACATTGTTAGGAAATACTTGTTCTTTTGAAATATTTTCTCTCTGCAGAACGTGATATTTTGGTTAAATAACCAATATTATTTGGTCATCAGTCACTACCACTACTGAATTAATGAAAATCTTTGCTGACCAGCTTTTCTGAAGATTTACTAGGGCGAAGACTTGCTAGCAAACTCATGCTCTGGCACAGGAAGGTCAGTGTATGTTGCTTTGGAATTGGGGTGAGAGAAGAAGTTCCAAGACATGGAGCTGTGTTGGACATCTGCACTTGGGCTGCTGAATAAGTCCTCTCAGTCAGATCCATTGTGTCTTCAACTGGCTACTCTTCTCTTCCAGGGCTTTCCTGCAGCACACCTCTCCTCAGCAGCTTTCCCAACCATGTTCCCCTCCCCAGCCATAAATGAGACTTGCAGATATCAAATCCTCTAATGGGGAGAGTGTCTCTTGTGTCTCCTGTGTCCTGAAGAGCTGATGGACACGCAGCAAAAGAAGCAGATTATAAGGCAGTGGAGCTTTCGAGTTTTTACACCATGACAAGGAATGTTTTTTATCTCAGGTTACTTACATAACCTGCCTCAGAGGATAAAGGTGTAGGAGGAAACACAGTCAAGAGGTAAAAGTTTACCCTGGATATTTATACTCAGTGACAGGAAAGAAGCTTGGTGACATGCAGATGTTTGTCCCAGTTTTTTTGTGTAAACAGCACCTGGTTTTAACATGTGAATTTAGCACCTTGTTTGGAGGAGCTGGGGCTGCATGGACTCTGCATTTGGCACTGAGGAAAAAAAATCCTTGGGGGCTGTGGAGCCCTGAGACAGAGCTTTAAATATATATTTAAAGGTCAGACAGCAGCTTTGGCAAGTCATTTTAGTTTTTTTTTTCTCTGACATATTCCTAAAATGGGCTTAGACTCTGGATGCACCTGTTAAAGAGGATAGTAGAAATCAAATCTTTTATGATCATAAAAGTGGAGCTTCAAGTCTCGTATTTTTGGAGAAATATATCTCCGGAAAATGAGTTTAGAGCAACAGAATACACTGACTGCAGCTGGGAGTATTGCACTTGGTAATGTAGAACCTGTCTGAAGAATAGACAGAATATATTTCATGTATTATTTGCTAGGTCAGTGAAACTCCAAATACAATTCTGATGAAACCATTGGGAAGTTTCCTTGGGTTTGTGGTACTAGTCAAAATCCTGAGTGCTTCTGGACTTGATTTTCAGAAGTTTCAGATCCTCTCAGTTCCCAGAATTATTACAGCTGTGGTGCTTCAAGTTTAAGCTCAGCATGAACTAGGGATTACAATATGATAATGAAATATTTTGTTCTTAACCTGGTGAACAAACATGGGTTAGCTGTAGCTTTGAGTTCCATGTGTTAACCGCCTCAGGGCTGGAGGCTGTGCTCTCTCAAAGGCAGGTTTGGTGGTATGTGCTGGAATTGTCTGAAGCTAGTTTTTGTTCACAGGCTTGGGTGATGTTTGTGCACTTGTATCTCCAGGCCAGTTCTGACACAGCTCTCTGCAGGTGGAGAGGCCTGTCCTGAATCTCCCCTGAGATCAGCTGATGGAGCAATGTTAGATAATGCAAGTCCCCAAGTAAATTTCACATGTAGCATAATATATATTCACATAACAGCAAATTATTATTATTATTGCTCAAGAAGTTTGTATTCCCCCTGCACTTGTCATTCCACATGCCCAAACTGTTCTGCCAAGCTGCCTCTGAAGCCCCATTTCTGTGTCTGCTTTTGCATGTTCAGATCCCCAGGACAGGCTGAGCCCAGGTGACAGATGCAGCCGGGCATCCTGTGAGCTGCAGGGTGGGAAAGACCCTCACACACTTACCTTTGGCCAGCTGTGCCCTGGCAGCAGCTCCTGTGCTGGATTTCACCCCATAGGATGTGGGAATAGAGTCACCGATGAGTGGGGCATGGGGGCAATCCCAGACCCACATCCAGCTGACACAGGTCTGGGTGGCACAAGCCTTCATGTTCCTGGAACCCAGCTTGGCATTTGGTGCCTTCTGGAAGCACCTGCTTTCCTCTGAGCATCCACCAGGAAGTCTCTCTAATCATCTCTGCACATACCTGCAGTGGCCTAAAAGGAACAAAGTGGCCCTGGATGATCTGAAAGCATGAATTGCACCCACAGGCACTTTAATCCTGTCAAGGGTAGGTGTTTTTCCACTTCTGCTTATAAATTAGAGACCAGAGACCTAATTACCTCACAACTTTCCCTAAGATGATAGCAATTATGTATTTTAAAGTGCTTCGGGTTAGGCTAAGAGAATAAAAAGTATAGAGGAAAGCCAAATCCTGAGTTTTGTGGCTTTTTATTTCTGCAGAAGCACATTGCTGAAGGATGCTTGAGAAATGCCTGGAGCCCTTGGATGCATAAAGGGGGCAAAAAGAGGTGAACAGCTTTGTCTGTCAAGTGTGAGGTTATGCAATGATAGATGTTCCCAGATGACTTGACAAGTGCTTCTACAGAGAAGGGACAAATACAGAATAAGGGCAGCATCACTCAATAAAATTTGCAAAACTGAAAGATGAGAAGAGAGCATTTGCAACCCACTAAATGTTTCTTCATAGCTTTGTTGTCAGACAACTTGGCTGAGCAGCAATACCATGACCTGACACAGGCTCATGTGGAAAAGTCTCATCTAGCTCTGGGCTTTTATTTGCATCTGGAACAGTTTGTCAAATGCCTTTTCATTTGCTTGGCTGCTCAACAGGTGCACACACCAGCCAATAATATTAACCATAAGCAGATAACCCAACTAGTACTAATGGTTTAATGCTGATTCCCTGTGGCAACCTGTGGTACAGACTTTAACTTGCCCAGCATGGATTG